GTAAATTTGTAGTGAATAAAATTGCTAAAAGTTTGACTTATATGTGCATCATGTGGAAACTTTGAGATAGGACTGTCAGCTGTTTGTCATGTTTATTAACGTAGCAAACCTATTATACAGTTGCTGTTAATATCGCCAAAACTTGATGATATTCAAGCAATATTGACCAAATCTCCATTAACAAGGTCAGTTTTTAAAAAGACTACAATATTTGGCAGCCGTTCTATACAGCATCCTGTCATAACATTACTTAATCTCAGTATTTTTGCGATGTTTTAAATGTACAGTCAAGCCTTGTTATCTCGAATTCTATGAGAATGAGAAAAAACCTTGAGTTATCCGAGGATTCAAGATATCCGGGGTAAAATACTAAAGGAATAAGGATTAGGACTTCAAATCACTTCCGCATATCCATGGTATTCGACATATCCGTGTTCGAGATACCGAAGTTCAACTGTATTTAGGGAATGTCTTCAAACATTTTCTTGATAGAGAATCTTGGGAAAAAAGTAATCTCATACCTGATCATATAAAGGGATAATCGCCGGCCCATATTTTCTTGGTCATGAAATGCGAGTTGGTTTTAATTTGTAGTCGTAAAATCAATTGTTTGGTCACAAATGCGACCATTTTAGTCACAACTTGGAGCTGAACTCTCATTTCTCAATAAGCCTTGTGTCTATTGACAATTAAAAAGTTAAGGAACTTGAGAAAAAATCGTTAACTAACTCGTACAAGTTTTGGAACCTATATTTCTTTGATTTAAAAACCTCATGTCATGAAGTGTCTTTTCCCTTCATGTCAACATAAAGGAGTTTGATTTTATTTATGTCAATTTTACAAAATGTTTGAATAGAAAGAGGATGGTAGGCTGGTAGACTATGGCAACTATAGGAGTTTTTATGATTGTAGCACATGAAAAGATAGGCTATAGATGTTTGTAATTCAGAATGTATTGAATATGAATTCTAATATTTTGAGAGATTAGAGGAAAATCATATTTACTTAATGTCAGTGATTAAGTTTCAATATTTGATTATTTTATAATAAAAAATATACATAAATACATGCACCTGCAGTGACATTTTGATTTTAGAAATTTGAATATCACATAATCAGGGAAGGGATGGAATGTCAAATCTCTATAGCAAATTAAAACAGTTTGTTTTTTTTTTTTTTGTACAGGCAGGTTTCAATCATTCAATCATTTTTCATTTAATTTTTTAACTGTAGTTAACAGTACACAATCTATTTTGTGATATATGACACATTTTTGATATACTTTACAAATTTTGCAACGACCTTAACTGAAGAAAGTGAAGATAAAAAAGTTGGCTTGATACATCAATAACAGCACAAAATATGATAAATGCTGAGTGTAACATTAAGTAAATCAGGCTAGTTACTAGTTAATGAGAACACTAGGAATATCTTATCAAAAATATGATATAGAAAAGCAAACTAAAGTACAGAAGCCCTACAACTTAAATGTTTATTAAGATACTGAAGTGTGAGCTATTTGATGGTTATTTTGAGAAGTACTAAAATTTCATATTCTTCTCTAAGAAAGTCTGAACACTTCCAACTGTATCAGAACATTTTGTATATTATTTTGATTTAGTGTGTGTTAATTAACTTGCCATAAGTGATTTCATACTGCTGCTATATCAAATTTACAGGTCCTATTTCAGTGGAAAGAATTTATAAGTATTTGGTTAACACTACATAGTAGGCTTAAATAAAGACGTGGTTCACCATTATTATAAAAGAGAAATATTCACTTGTCCATCAGATAGTCTGCTAAAATTTCATTCACTCAATTGATATACTGTAAAAAAATAAATTAATCAGGAACGTATTAACTCATTTAATTTTGATATACAGTGGTACTTAATTCATCTTGAACTTCTATATCTTGAATACCATGGAAATGTTGAAGCGAGGTGGAAGTTCCTCTGTATCTATTTTAACCTGATTATCTCAAATCCTCAGACATCTCGAAGATTTTTTTTTTTTGGTTCCCACCCAGTTCAAGATAACAAGGTTTGTTTGTACTTATAATTAGACAGGGTGGTGAAAAAGAGGGGGTTTGTGGATTATTAGACTAGTTCTCAGAGATGCTAAATAGGAGAGACATAAATAGAATCTTATAAAATATTTACCAAAGTTTTTGAGCTATTTCATAATTGTAACATTATTATAGAAACTTGATTTAAAGTATAAAATATGACAAATGCAATATTCCACATCCCTGCTGACAATTTGATGTAATAGCTGTCCAGTGTAGCAGTATTGGACATTTATAAATATCAGGTGGAAATATCTGTGAAGAAATTAAAGGAATTATGAATGAGGAGCTTAGATCCCTTGTTGATTTATAACATGCAAGAGTACCTATTAAAACTACAAAAGAAATACAATTATAGGAAATCTCACTGCAACATAAGGAGATTTATTTTAGTTCATTTATGCAGGCCTTGGATGGAGAACCAATTCATATGGATTATTTCTGAGTGGAATGTTTTCATAACCTACATAATTCTCACCATTCATGCCAACAGACAATACAACATCATTGGCTTTCTTCATTAACTAATCAAAAAATTAATATGACAGGTTTTCTGCATGTTGGCTCTGGAAGTGTCAAGCTATTATCAATTTAGCCTGAAATGGATGAAAAAAAAATAATAAAGAGACTTTCAAATTGGACTCTTTGAATTCTGTTTCCTAAAATAACCTAGCATAGCCTTGTCATGCAATTATGATGTCACAAGAATTGCATCCGAATTATTCTTGATACTTATAAAAGTATTGACGGAGTAGTTTACACACATTTGGGAATTTCTGATAAAACCCCCACCTACATATTCCAGCTTTTATTTCAGGTAACTTGTTCCCTTTTTGACAAAACTCTTCTGCACTTTCTCAGAACAAATAAAATGATTTGTTGATGTGGAAAACAGAAAAGTTCATATTTCTTTGACAATTTCCGCAAGTGTTCTCGGGCTGCTCAGGTCTTCTTTTAGTATGTCAGAAATAGCCAATTTGGGATTGATTTCTCTGCAAGCAAGCAATGTGCTGTAACAATTCTATATTGGAAATGGACTGGAAAGCTGAGAAAAAATCTTTTTCTTGTAAATTATTGAGAATTGCAAAGAATATAACTTTATATGAAAGAAAAATTTGATGTTTGTAATATTTTATCACTCAATCAGCAGAGAAGTTGGCTTTGTTTGAAAGGTACAATGTTTTACACATAAAGTATATGAGCTTTCATGCAGCTGGATAGTTAAGTGTGAGAAAAAAATCAGATCTCTTAAAGTTTCTGTCAGAAATTATTATGTTGTCATTGATATTCCCAGCATTCTCTATAGTATATAGCATGCATAGCACAGGCAACAAAAACACCCAACACATTTTACTTTCATGATTTTAACATCATGAATATGAATTTGCTCCTAAAAGAGTTAACATGACCAGTAATCTATTGAAACTTAAAGCTTTCCCCAGCACAGCACAGCTTTGTGTTGTGAAAAAAAGAATGTGTAATTGCAAAGAATGAACCACTGTCCAAAAACTGGTAATATCCAATATTTGGAAATTAGACATATAAAGTACTTGTAGAAAGCTTAAAACGGGGAAGTAATACAAAGGATTTTTTTAGGGGGGGTGTTAGAAAAATTTCGAAATTTTATAATATGTGGGTTTGATCAAAAAAAAAAAAATGTCACCGTTTTAATAACTGGTACATTACCAATGTTAAAATTGGTGTGCTAATGGAATTGTAAAAAAAGAAATGAGGTCAGGAGTTTACATGTAATAGGTTTTGGATTTTTAGGTAAGATTGTAACACAGCTATGTTGATTGGAAAATTTGCTGTTCATTTGTAATGAATATTAAACTACTGAAAATTAAGAATTCAATAACACACAATCTTTTGTGATTATCATACCAAACCCATGCAGTTATGTTTGTAATCAGTGAGCAGTTTATGTGCTCCCCACAGTTAACTTTCCTTGAATCCTAATTAGATAAAAGGCTTTTTAATACTTCTCATGTTATTTCAAATCGATGTTCTAATGATGTCATGGCAAGGGTGTGGTAAGTGACCTTGAACAGGATTGTATACTAGTTTATCAATCAGAAGCATTTGCAGATGGATGCTATTTCTCTCTCTCTCTCTCTCTCTCTCTCTCTCTCTCTCTGACAAAAATGTTAATTATTTTACTTGTAAAAAAAAAAAAGAGAGAGAGAGTTTTATGATTAATTCAATGCCACAAACAGTTTATAAAACAATTGATACCATAAATGTCAATAATTCTTTCATGTGACTTCTCAATTACTTTTTTTTCAATTGTCCCCAAAACAGTTTTTTTCTGAAAATATATTTAACCAATTTCCATAGTGTAAATTACCTCATATAATATCTTACTTTTCATGCCAAGCTTCAATGTTTTTAAAACTTTGATGATTCCTTTTTTGGCAGAGGAGTACTAGTACTTTATATATAGACAGTGGTATATCTATACGTGTCTTTGGATCTGTCTGTGGTTCAGAGTTGAACACAGAAAGATCTGATTAACACTGAGTCACCACAGATATTGGGCAAAAGACTTCAAAATTGATACTCTGAGAAAGAACGTCATGAAATTCTACGTGTATTCTCAATTTGCTAAATGCACTTGTATCCTATATTTTTGTCCATTATATGCACTTGTATCCTATCTTTTTGCCCATTATATCAGTACAATCCTAATTTTAAGTTATGTATGTTCAGTTCTGACAGGAATTTATTTCCTGAAATTATTGTAATGATTTATATTGTAATGATTTATATCCATGCTGTTAACAAAGCTGTGGGCAGAACATTATACAAATCATAATAATACATTAATCTTAGGGTGCTGAGCTGATTTCTTTTTTTCGTATATATATTTTTGGCATGTTTTGTTACATAAAACATCAGAAACTTATCTTGTTAATTCTCTCTTTTCTTGTAGAATCGTGCCAAGAGAAATTTTTCTGTAGAGGAAGGTGACCATGTGAGTTTGCTCAATGTGTTCCGTGCATTTATCAAGGTAGGTATGCAAAATCCAGGAACGTTACTGCAGAATTTCAACAAGTGTGCTTCTGTATGGGGTCAAAACACATATGCCAAGCATTTGTTTTGCATCTGTCTGTTTGTCTGTTGTCTATCATAACTTTTTCCAATTTTTATTGTGATACCAGTAATGCACAACTGATAATTAAACATTAAAATGTAAATATTGTTATGCAATTCCGTTAATTATACTTACTGAAGAGTTTCCTCTTCAGACTTAGATATACAATTTGTGATTAGTAAGGTACTCAGCTGAAGTTTGCTAGACAGTTAAATTTGAGAATATCAGTGTAGGGGTTTGATTTTTTTAATTGGCTTGACTACACTAAATTTAACTGTGAGATGAATGTGATATTTTATGATGAAGATATGTTCAAAAAGAACAGAAGAAAAGTAAATTTTAAAATCTGTCATTAAAAACAGATTGCTGTGGATTCATCTGTTTCCTTTAAATAGTACAAAAAGAATTCTAAGTGGTGCAAAGAAAATTTCCTGAACTACAAAGGTCTGTGTAGAGCAGTAGAAATACAACATCAACTTCAACGTCTTCTGAAAAAGTTCAAGGTGCCCTTGGTGTCATGTCAAGGTAAGTCTGCCATGGAGCTTGCTGTTGCTATGAATGTGGTGTCTTGCAATACTGGGTACATAGGGATACTTGATATCACACTTACTTAACTTAACAGAACTCTTTCGCAGTGGAGGTAGGAAATATCAGTTAGCTGGGGGCAATATGCTGTGAATATGCTACAAGATCAATCCCTTTAGATTTTTTAAAGGACATACATGTATAAGAAAGAAGTCCTGGAGAAATATCTTGCTAAATGTTTGTGCACCATGCTTATAAAATGTAGGAGATGCTAGTTCTCTTGAATTACATTTTTGTAGATATTTTCCAGTAAGCAGACTTTTCTAATAAATAAATTCAACAATTTCTTTCTGATTAATGTTATTTTTGGAATTCTGTGTAAGATGACTTACATTTTGATATGCAACCACTGGCAGTACATTGTACTTTCAGAAAATTAATGTTTAAATCGGTCAATTGTCACTAACATACACAAGTTATGCCCTGGAAAATGATGTGAGATTTAGAACTTTCTTGACTTTATCGCAAAAGAGTGGCAGTAAGTTAGATAACCACAAGGTAATGGTGATACAGTCCCTGAAATGTTCTACTTTCCCACTTGAACGGTGAGCGAACGCTGAACGAAAGCAGAGCGAACTGTGTGTGAACGATGTGTGAACGCTGAACGCAACTTGGTGAACGGTAGGTGAACGCTGAACGGTGAGCGAACGCAGAACGCGAACGGAGCGCGAGCGCAAAGTGAACGGTGAATGCAAGATGAATGATTTATTCGGAATGCCTCTGATCTTTTCCATGCATTGTATTTATTCTATTGTATTCTAATGTCAGGTGGAAAATAAATAAATATTCAAAAATTGCCCTAAGAAAGATGAAACATGCACATTTAGTAAAACTATTAAGTTTCTTACAATATTTTCTGCACATATGTATGATGTTTAAATTCAGCGGTTTAATCACACGATTTTTATCGCTGTAAAACATCGTCATTGTTAGCGAACGCTGTAGTATAAAAGATAAAATTATTCTAGTTGTAAAATAGATATGTTTATTCTTATTTGATATATAAAACCATTACAAATAATGATTTTCGAAAAGTAAAATACTGACTTATAAAATGAATTACAACGGTTGTAACAACCATACATGTATTTCCGTGTCAAGGCAATTCCGTGTAAAATAATGAGAAAAGAAATTTAAAATATTTTGCTAGTCTGTGGACGTATTGCATGTATACACTCGTATTTGAAAAATGTAATGCAATAATATATTTATGTGTCTTTTTTCATTTTTTTAATGATGATTTATTCAGCAGACTTCTACATGTATCTATAAACAATTCCCCGTGATTATACTCGCACAAGGTGATACAAAGAAGCATTCATATTATTTGTTATAGATTAAAATTTCAAAACTTGGTATTTAAGTAATACGTGTCATAGTCTTGATTAAACGGGCAAATGAGAGAGAGAGATAGAGAGAGAGAGAGATATTCCGTTTTAGCCCCCCTTTCCACAAATGCATGTACATGTAATTGTACCTGTATAACCAAAAAATCTTAATTTTTATCTAAATATATCAGGCAGTGAATGTAACCTTTTTTTATTTATCAACAAATTCACTTTGTTTGACAGTCGTAATCGGATTTTATTTTCCTGCTTCAAGTTCACACGAAGTCCATGTGCTTGTCCTGTCAATCAAAATCATTCGACACTGTGCAGGTGTGAAAGTTTCGTCACACCAAAGGCGAAGTGCTACACTGTAGTATTTCCAAGAAGTTTTACATGTTTTATCATTTCTAGATCTGATTCCGATTTCTCCAATTAAATAAATAAATAAAATACATTGGGCATAAACACATCGAATGAATTTGAAACATACTCCCTGGCCAATTATAATACCACCGTCGGCGCGTGTATATTTTGAACTACTATTGTTTAATGGCTTTTTTAGATGCATGTTCGTTTTGAGACTGAAATATTTTGTGCTACAAAACTCGTTAACTTCTATTTAAATATTAATTTTAAACATACTGGAAATATTGACTACGTGACCGATCTACGTGGAAAAGGGGGGGGGGGGTAATCATATTGAATGGCAAACATATAAAGTTATTGTGAAGAAAGGAATTTTTTCTCTCTAACAGAAGAATTTATTTAAGAATTGCAGTATATTACATTTAAATAAATATTTTTAACCACACTATCAATTTAATTCGCTCCAAAGATATTTAATTAACTGGATATCTGCACTACTATTTATAATTCTCAGAACAAGTTCTAATATTGTATTTCTATAATAATTGAAAAAAAAGTTGTTAGTAATAAATATTTTCTAATTTTCCTGCAGTTGTTAAATTAATTGACATGGATTATTATCTCTACGTTAACGACTTGTCGTCTTTAACATAACAGCAAAATGTTGTAGTGCTTTACGTGTAAGTACCCCTATATTGCCCGTATTTAAATATTTTTTCAGCATCGTTCTACATAGGTACAACATTTATTTTCCAGAGTAATTTAAATAATAACCTAACAGCTAAGATAGAATAATAATAAAACATATTGTATATAATTTATTCCAATAAAATAATGATCCTTTGAACACGATATGTGAATTATTAAATTTCAAATCCCATAAATTCTTACTTACAAAAAAGATAAGTCCTTTCACTTCAGAGTTCCGAATGACAGTGAAGACTGAATAATAAGTGAACGCTGAACGCAAGGTGAACACAAAGTGAACGAACGGAGAGCGAACGGTGAACGCTTTGTGAACGGTGAACGCAAGCGCACAGTGAACACAGAACGCAAAACTGTGAACAGTGAACGCACGCTGAATGAACGGTGAGTGAACGGAAAAATGGGAAAGTAGAACGTTTCAGGGACTGTAAGAGATATTTGGTCTGTTGCTGACATTGCAAATGATAATATCAATAATATAGAAATAAACCACCATATGTGTGTTTTAATTCTGGAAAAATAAATGAATGTCTTAATACTGTAATGGGAACCCCATTTCAAACCATAGAGAGATTTTATTTTCTAGTATATGTACATGTATACTTCCATTATGATATTCTTTGTGAATAAATTGTATTCTGTGTATTCTGGTGCATGAGAACTTAATCTGCAACCAATGAATTCATTAACTGATTAAAGAAAGAAGGGGAATTTGCTTGGTAATTCCACATTTTATAGAGTTTCAAAATGGGTCAGAATGAACACATTTTAATATAATGATGAACAAACAGATTGTAAATGCTAGACTTTTTATAGCTTCTAGCATGCAGAGATTTTGCCTGGGAGATGTTAGTTCCAATTAAAAAAGAAATTCTTTAAGGACTTTAAAAAATTCATTAATTAATTTGCAAGGATAGGTGTGCATGATATCATTGAAATACTATTGGATACTTGTAAAATTTTATTTTGATAAACAGTTATTTTGTTTACATTTCCAGGGCAGCACGGTTATTAAGCCCTTTAACCAAAAAAACTTGAAATAAAACAAGAACCTTAAATAATGGATTTTTCATTAATGTTTGCAGATAATATCTTTTATTATCTGTTTTCATTCTTTTGTTATGTAAATTTACACAGGAATAAATTTCTTCCTATTCATAATTTGTTTTATCATTGTCATCTGTTGCAATGTAACTTTGACATGCCATACTGACTTTTAAAATTTACCACAGATTATTACTGAACCCAGGGTTAGAAACTCCCTAAAATTACAACTTGCAAATAATTGCGAGTACCAAGAAAGTGAACTCGCAATTTTATAAGACTACTCGCAATTTTCATATAAAGTTAAATTTATATAAATTAAATACATGTAACTTAAGGAAAAAGTAACTACTGTACAATACACAAAATACAACTACAGTGTGAAAATGAAAAAAAATTCACAGGAACAACAAATGTACATTTCGTAGTACTGTATAATACATTTGTTTCTTTCTTCTTAAGGTCAAGATCTAGTAAATGAAGAGTGCCTACAGATTTCTCAAATTTGAGAAACAAATTCCTTTAATAATATATTACAATTGTAGCTAAATAAATTGAGGTGTATCGGGGCATAATATTTAGAAAAACGGAACGAAAAAACATATTTTAAACTGCCCTTTTCAATGAAAAATGAAGAAAATCAGGAATAAAAATGGGAGTTTTCTCCATCTCAGACAAACAAAATGTATCAATATTGCCTACAGTCTCTCAGTAAACGGTTTTTCACATCTTCTTGACCTCTTCTTTAAAATGATATTAAATTGAATATAGGTATCGGGGTTCCTTTTGAAATGATTTCAAAATGAATTCCATGAAAATGTGTCATTTTCTACTTAATTCTGTTATAGCCGTAAAATATGGGAAAAAATAAAATTAAATCAATTATGACGTCATAATGGATCTAGCACCAAAAGACAGACTAAACTCATTTACTAGATCTTTACCTTAACATAATTAAGGCTAGACAAGAAAATGTGTGATACATAACCACTACAGCAGTTTTAAGGGCATTGTGTTTGATACACCTTAGATAAACTGCATGTAAGGTAACTAGCTCTTTTTTAGCTCACCTGAGCTGAAAGCTCAAGTGAGCTTTTCTGATCAAAGAATGAGTGCACTTTAGAGTGTCGTTTGGAACCTTTTCGGCCACCCATTTTAAGCCTTGAATTAGACTATATTGCTAAATTAATCTATGATTATTGTGCATACATATGCTTTTGATATTTATACTTCGATTTTTTTGTTAAACATATTTCTATAATTCCACAAAACGTCATTGAAAAGAACATGTATAAGCCTTAAATTCTGGAAATTTGAACTGGACCTGCAGTTTCGAATTTAAGATACCCGCCAACACTTGAAGTTATTCCGGCTGTTTGCACTTTTATAAAACAATCATTAGAATTAAGAAATAAAAGGTCCACATTGGTGAAACATACATTGAGTAAATTACTTAAATTGCGCTTATTGTTTATTTATAAACATTCAGTGTTTTTT